AAATGTTTAAACCCATGAACTTTATTAACTTTTTTAATTTCTAATCAACTCGTTCAATCAAAAAAATTATCATTTCTGCACCATTGTATAACATACATACAAACACATAGTATAAACATTTTTATCAAAACATGAGACTCTAAAAATAAACCAAAAAGAGGTTCCTGTTTAAAAATTTCACATTGTTTAATTGAGACATGTGAGACAGGGACTATGAGTGCATGTTAAATGCTAAACAGACAACACATTCAAATACTTAAGGTTTTTCTCCATATTCACTGGGAACAAACTTTTATACAGCAGGTATACATTGAAATCAATCAGAATAAGTAGAAGTCATCACAAACATGACTAGTTATACACCCATAAACCTCAAAATTTTATTGAAATTTAATGAAATAAGAATGTGTCCATAGTACATGGATGGCCCACTCGCACTATCATTTTCTATGTTCTGTGGACCGTGAAATTGGGGTAAAATCTCAATTTGGCATTAACACTAGAAAGATCATATCATAGGGAACATGTGTACTAAGTTTCAAGTTGATTGGACTTCAACTTCATGAAAAACTATCTTAACCAAAAACTTTAAACTTAAGTGGGACAGACAGCCGAACAGATGAACGAATGCACATACCAGAAAACATAATGCCCCTCTACTATTGTAGGAGTGTAGGTTGGGCATAAAAATAATATAGGAGTGTAGGTTGGGCATAAAAATAAGATATCTAAAATGTGCTCCCCCTCCCCCTCATAAATATAACAGCAAATATGACCTGTTAAGGGTTAGGTTTTGGAATTTATTTAAGATTGTTTGGACTAGTTTGGTTTTTCTCTATGATAAACTATAACGGGGCAAAATATTATACCCATTTCACCCATTTTTTTAAAGAAGACCTCAAACAGCTATTAGTTTCATTGACATTAAAAGTGCAGAATTTTTTTTTTCAATTAGGACCCCAAAATAGTTCTCAACAGAAATGTGATCAAAAGTGATCAGCAGGCAATACCACAGCTTATCACAAACTACATGTATATAAAAAAATAACAACAATTTAAAACAATTATATGTAAACTTGGCACTGTACAACAAAAGATCACTTAAATCTTAATAAAGAATCAGAACAATTATTTAATGTAAAAGTCTAACAATATTTTAACAAAAATTTATAGTTACCTAGTTAAGGTAGCACTACAGTTGATTTTTACGTGATTTTTTTTAACACATTATTTTTTTTAACAGCACCAAGCAGTTGAATCAATATATCTTCTAATAGGTGGCATATATAAAAAATCTGAGACACAGTTTTGTAGCTTCTGTATGGTCAATGAAATGTATGAAAACAAATTTTTACCACCATTTGAAATGAATGTGCTGTTTTTATCGAAGTCAGGAGAGAACTTTTTTTGGCAGTTAATGAACTATATTTTTAATTGATCATACCAAAGAACAAAATTATCATCAGATTAAGAATGAACGATATTTCAGCTGTAAAATGAGTTAAAGATTATAAAATTCCATTGAGTGGTTTAGGAGAAATTAATCTTAAAGTCTGTTTGTTGGAGTCATCAAAGTCTGACTATAGTGCTACCTTAAGTTACCTGTATACAGATGGAAAACAATACAAAAAAAAATTGGTCAGTCAGTGCTCAGAAATGTCTTTATTTCATTTCCGACTTAAAAGGATGATTAACATAAATTTATTTTTATGTTTCAATAAAAAGTGTTTTTTTTGGCAATGTCCAGAAAATATAAGACTTGTTTTAATAGGTCTATTTATGTTTCATTAACTGGATGAAAACACTTGATTGGATATGGATTTTTTAATATTTTCTACTCTTTTCATGTCTTTCTTCTTAATCTTAATTTTGGAATATATGTAAATAACTATATTTTCACTGATTTCTTATCAATAATGGATTTACAAAATAAACTCTGACTTTTATGATTTGGAGTGCAACAGACTGACCACATTTGACATGAAAACAAATTATATTACAATGCAGTATTCTAACACTGCTAAAATAAACTACATAACATGCATAAAGTAAAAACTTTCATAATATTTATAACCATTTTCAACAGAAAACTGAAACCAGGGAGTACAAGTAATTTAAATGACATACATAATCAAACAGCTCTATGAAATCTAAATTACTCTTTTTTAGCAATCTCCATGACAAATATGATACATGAAATACATAAACAGTTGAGCAATGTTTTGAATCAGAAACTATAAAATAAAAGACATCAACAAGGGCAATATAATAATATCATGAATATAAGTACTAAAACATGAAAAAAACCTGAGTTTGAACATATGTTAACAAAAACATTCAATAAAAGTTGTATCAAAGTAATTTTCAAAATTGTTTTAAACAAAACATAACTTTCAAATAAAACATCAAAACACAATTCAGTAATATAAAGGCATTACTTAAAGGGGCACTAGTTGTCAAATTCATGTTCACTGATTTGACTCAAATTGTCATATTTGATTATAACAACGTAAAACTTTTATTCAAATAATAAAAAGTCTAAAATAAACAAAATACCGGACAGGGCTACATAATATGTAGCTTCGTTTCGTGTGTAAAAAAAAAAAAAATCACATTTTATATTCATTATATATCTTGTATCTAGTGCCCCTTTAATCTTGAAGCTGTAAACAAGGCACAAAAATGTAAGGAAACTAAGTTCTAGGACAATTGGCATGTTGATAAAATAGTTTCATATTATTGTATAGTGGCACATATTGAATGGTCAGCAAATATAATATAATGGAAAAAAATCAACAAAAGACATTAATTGAAGAATCACTATAACAATGATTAAATTTAAAAACTAGAGGCTCTAAAGAGCCTGTGTCGCTCACCTTGGTCTATGTGCATATTAAACAAAGGACACAGATGGATTCATGTCAAAATTGTGTTTTGGTGATGGTGATATGTTTGTAGATCTTACTTTACTGAACATTCTTGCTGCTTACAATTATCTCTATCTATAATGAACTTGGCCCAGTAGTTACAGTGGAAAATATTTTGTAAACATTTACAAAAATTTACAAAATTTATGAAAATTGTAAAAAATTGACTATAAAGGGCAATAACTCCTTAAGGGGTCAATTGACAATTTTGGTCATGTTGACTTATTTGTAGATCTTACTTTGCTGTACATTATTGCTGTTTACAGTTTATTTCTATCTATAATAATATTCAAGATAATAACCAAAAGCTGCAAAATTTTCTTAAAATTACCAATTCAGGGGCAGCAACCCAACAATGTGTTGCCTGATTGGTCTGAAAATGTCAGGGCAGATAGATCTTGACCTAATGAACAATTGTATCCTGTCAGATTTGCTCTAAATGCTTTGGTTTCAGAGATATGAGCCAAACACTGCATTTTACCCTATGTACTATTTTTTAGCCATGTCGGCCATCTTAGTTCGCGGGCGGGGTCATTGGACACATTTTTACAACTAGATACCCTAATGACGATTGTGGACAAGTTTGGTTAAATTTGTCTTAGTAGTTTCAGAGGAGAAGATTTTTGTAAAGGAATACAAAATTTTACGAAAAATGGTTAAAAATTGACTATCAAGGGCAATAACTCCTTAAGGGGTCAACTGACCATTGTGGTCATTTTGATAAATTTGTAGATCTTACTTTGCTGAACATTATTGCTGTTTACAGTTTATCTCGATCTATAATAATATTCAAGATAATAACCAAAAGCTGCAAAATTTTCTTAAACTTACCAATTCAGGGGCAGCAACCCAACAACGGGTTGTCCGATTCATCTGAAAATTTCAGGGCAGATAGATCTTGACCTGATAAACAATTTTACCCGATGTCAGATTTGCTCTAAATGCTTTGGTTTCAGAGATATAAGCCAAAATCTACATTTTACCTCCATGTTCTATTTTTAGCCATGGCGGCCATCTTGGTTGGTTGGCCGGGTCACCGGACACATTTTTTAAACTAGATACCCCAATGATGATTATGGCCAAGTTTGGTCAAATTTGGCCCAGTAGTTTCAGAGGAGAAGATTTTTGTAAAAGTTTACGGACGACGGACACAGGACGACTGACGACGGACGCCAAGTGATGAGAAAATCTTACTTGGCCCTTTGAGCCAGGTGAGCTAAAAATAACTGGTTATGCATAAGAGTAGTATGTAACCAGTTATTTTAATCAAAGTACACAATGTGCATGGTATGCATGGTATGTATGGTATGTATGTGTTGTGTACACGTAATAATGTTTTCATTAAAATGTTCTGGAAATTTTTCATACATTGTTTCATGCAAAATTATATATAAAAAAATCTTCTCGTGTACAGATTTTTTTTTTGATCAATACTATGTATTATATATATTTGACTGTATCTTGTAGTCCTTGTATTATTCATTTATTGTTTATGATTTAGTGCATTAAAAACACTCATTATTAGAATTTGTATACAACATACACATGACATAGTTATACCATACGCATACATATACCAATAAATTCAAAATCATGGATTTAGTCATAAGAACCAAGTTCTGTGATATGAAGGCATTACAGATTATTCCAGTTACATTAGCACTAACATGTTATATTCAATGTTAAAAAGCACTAAAGTCACACTGTGTAGTTCTCAAGGTGAAGCACTAACATGAAATATTTAAGGTTAACCAGCACTTCAATGTAATTTTCCAGGTTTTACAGCACTTAACATTTCTTGAAGAGGGAGAGTTGAACATTGGAAAATAAAATCTTAAATTCATGAACCTTGTAACACTTGAACAACAACAGCATGAACATACAAATTAAAGTATATTTCTAAATAAAAGTTGTAATATTTGACTTGTCTTGACATTTCAAGGCTTATGGAGGTGTAACATCATCATGCTGATCACTATCAGGTATAGTTTATTCTTTAATCATGTATCCAGAAGCAATACACACTATTGATCAGAGAAGTCGTTAACAATGTGTATGGGGCAATTTTACCCGCATAAAACAACTAACTTTCTTAATGTTTGATATCAAAATTTTGTTTTGCTTTATCGAAATTTAAAGTTATTTCAAAAATATATGCTTTATAACATATTGAGATAGGAATAATCCTTACATAATGAGTTAATCTTTATACATAAGTACTTCCATAAGCCTTAAAATCTCTTGGTCAGTAAAATGTATGGACATAATGATATCAATTAGTAAAAAAAATTTTGCAGAAAGATTGAAATTTGTTCTGTATTTCTTTGTACTCTTTAATGTGCCAAATCCTGCCATAGGAGTCTTTGGTGACTACTTCAACATTGGTTTCGAAAATGAATTCTTTTCTGACACAGGATGTATCTTCCTTGGCAGTCCATCTGAAGTCATTTCCGGTTGATATCTTTTTCATAAAATTAATTTTAAAAGTGTCATCCACCTTTTCCACAACAAGTCCAGCGAACCATTCGCTCTCATATGCAACAGCGACGTATTGACCCACTTTGATTTCATCATCTGAAAAGTAAATTGAAGTAATTAAAAATATATCTTGACTATGCTAACCCTAAAGGTCTAGAAAAAAAAATGAGACTATTTTTTTTACCAAAATAAAATAATTCACAATATACATATGTCCTGTCCTCCGACTACCACAAACACACTATTAGCTAGTTTAATTTAGAATATGATAAAAAAAATTCTAGTATCTTCTACACTTTCATAGATTTTTTATATGGTTTGTTGATAAAAATATGATGTATTTCTCTGGTTTATGACACTGGTGTGCATAAAAAAACTTAATCATGTTAATGGATAGGACATTTTCTATTTTGTAGTATTAATTCTAATTATGTGCCATTATACATGTACTACTTTAGGATATCATTATAATTTTCCATTTTCTTTGTTAATCATGTTTGTTGTTGGTTATTGTCTAATTTTCCTTACCTTTGCTAATGTCAGTAGCCTCAAATTCCAAAATCCCTTCCTCAGTATTCATCTAAAAAAAGAAAACAAAACAATGAGATGTAAATAAAAGTCAATTTTCCCTTTCTTGGAAGGATGCAATGAAATAAAAATAAGAAATTGACATACATAATGTGTTCATTTTTAGTCAAAGTCATTTTATGGAACACCATAGAAGTCTTACCATGAACAGTTGAGGATGTCATTATAAAACAATACATTAAATATCAAATCTATATCTTTAAGCATGAAGAAAAAAAGTGTGGAAAACTGATTTGTCAGACTGACAGATGGACAGAGTGCAAACCCAAAGTCCCCTTCGACTTCATTGCTAAGGGACTAAAAAAAAGTTTAATATTAGCATTATACTAACGAAAATTTTAGTAGATATATTACCTGCAGCTGCAAAAGATCCTGGACAATGGGTTATCCCAATTCTTCTGTTAGAGTAGCAGCATACAAAAAGCTAAAAATAAAAATAAAGTCAAACAATTTTTTCAAGTTTATTGTTTATGTTGAGACAAATTAATGGTATTTGTCTTATCACTAATTGTAAATTGAGAATGTGATGTAAAAATAAATTCCACATTGTACCTGTAACAGTGTTTTTTTAGTTGTCTGTATATTTCTAATCCTTACTGTTAAGTCCAATTTTGGTTGTATTGCCATTTTTACTTATATTGTGTTTGTTTTGCTCACACTTTGTCAATATAATGGCATGCTACTAGACTGTTGTCAAGTGAGAGATTTGGCTAGGTTTAATCCACTCTTATGAGTAAGAAAATGTCTGTACCAAGTCAGGAATATGTCAGTTGCTTTCCATACATTGATGTGTTGGATCATTCTATTTTGCCATTTGAATAAGGACTTTCCTTTGAGTTCAGTATATTTCTTATTTTACTTTTTTCTTGTACATTGTTCCAATATCGTTTTCACTTTACTTTTAAAAGATAAAAAAAAGGGAATTCCTGTTCCTCATTGATAGTAGTTGTAGAGTCTTCCACAATGAACGAAACATTCATACTTTACAACGAGGTCAAGACAACCCCTAGCGTCAACTTAAGGATGTTCACTTGTCATATTTTGGAATTTTTGTCAGATTTTCGGAATCCTCTGGTTTTATCCATTCGTATGCATTAAATCTTTTTGCCCATTGACCCCCATTTTTCTTTTTATAAATCTTTTATATGTATAATTATAAGCCATCTGTAAAAGTCTTACAAAATCTTTGTTATTTTTTAAGTTTTTGAGAGCTTTAACTTGTCAATGATAAAGCTATGAAAAGTCAAGAGAAAACATTTTCCCGCCAAAATTTCAATGGCTAATATCTCGAAAAATCCTTTATTTATCCCCTTTCAATATACACTAGTGTTATGAAAAGCTTGTTATTTTGAAACTGAGTATCGAACTTCCTTAAGTGGTACTATTGATAAAAGATGAACCACAGTTTACCATCTTAACCCCACCCACCTCTGAATGCCAACTTGTGCGATGCTTAAAGTCTGACACTAATCAATTTAAATAAATTACAAGTTCACTTTACTGATAGTGTTATCTCTTTGATCATTGTTTCTTTTCTTCATATTTGTCACAAACCTGTCATCTTGCAGAACTTCTTCGTAATGTGTTTCTTCTTTCTCTTGAGTAACATCTTTTTCTACGTCCTCTTGGTCTTTTTCTTTCTCTTCCTTCTCTTGATCTTTTTCTTTCTCTACCTTCTCTTTCTCTTCCTCCTCTTGATCGTTTTCTTGCTCTACCTTCTCTTGATCTTTTTCTTTCTCTACCTTCTCTTGATCTTTTGCTTCCCTATCCTTTTGTCTATCAACTCTGACAAGAGAAAAAATACATTGATAACTTGTGACAAATAAGAACTCTTACACAACATGTAAACTTTCCAATTCGACATGTTAAAGATAAAAAGATTTTTAAATATACATAAAATGACGAAGGCCGTAATGGCCGAAATGTATGGAAAATTGTGTTATAGTTTTTATTATACAATCATATATATATGTCGAAAATAGTTGTTGCAGTACCACTGATACTTGCATATATAAATGCATTGAAATGGGGTATTCAAGATTTCATTTTAAAACAAATGAAAACATATCTCATAAAACAGAAGCCAAATACTGCTACATACTTGTTTATAACAGGACTCTGGTCACTGTCATGACTGCTTATATTGATCTTATCATTCTCACTTTCACTACTCTCAGTACTGCTACTTTGGATGCTGTCAAAAAATAAGAAATTGTATTATTTCGGTCATTTTAAATGAATTGATGAAAACATAATACAACATAAACAATTCCGGTGAGATGTCTTAAGGATGTATTAAGTTAAGGTTTTGTAATTATTTGTCAGACGTTTGGACTCTTTTTTTGTTTTTTCCTAAGATTTAGCCCCATATTACCCTTTTTTTTGCATACAAGACTTCAAATAACCAGCTCATAAAAGGTTCCTAACAAAATTTGTAGATTTAATTTCTAATGTTAAAGACCAAAAAAATACCAAAGCTAACTAAAAAGACTACAATAATCAAGATTATGATCTGAATTTGTTCTAAAACTAGTGCTTTTCTGATTTAAAGCATGAATTTCAAATTCTAGATTTTTTATAATTTCAACTAAATACATCTTTAATTCATTTGTGATAACAGTTACAAGTAATTTAAATTGTTTTAGACAAGTTTCAGTGTAAGAATGTATTATATAGATATAAGAAGATATGTGCTTACTAAGTGCCCTTCTTTCTACCACCTCGTCCTTTTCCTCTTCCACCTCTAATGCCTTTACCCCTTCCTCCATGTGGCCTGCCACAAGAAGTACCTCTTTAAATAATTAAAAAGTATATGTAATTTTTTAATCAGGATAATTTTTGGCAACATCTGAGTTTTTCTTTTTGTGTGATTAAATGTTTATGCTGTTGTCTCTTTTTTTATGTGTGCTTGACTGTTGTTATATTATTTCAAGTTATACATACGCAGAGTAAATATTGGCAACTTATCGACTTGCAGAAGTCATTTGTTGCAACTTTTGATTCCATAAATTCATTTTCTCTTAAACATAGACTCATTCAACAGGTTCAAGTAATATTTTGTTTTCAAATGAAACATTTAAGACCTCTATGATTAAATTAATTTTCAATTGTGTCTATAGTTTCTGAAAAGTATTTTTACACAAGAATTGTTGAACCTTATATTATATGATTATGGTAATATACTTAAGTATACTTAATTTAAATGCACATTGACTCTTTCATTTAAATTTTTGCTAATCTTTTTCTTTTCCTAAAGAACTAATTGCCTTCCTTATAATGTATATTGCGTAATTGTGGTATAACCCTTTATAGTTTCTAGTGATATAGAGATATGTTACCTGTTAGGTAGCGTCCTGGAAGGGATGCATGTTGCTTTAGTGGTTGGTTTCCTACAAAGTAAAATATAAATTTAATTCAGATCCCAACATTCACACAGTTATTTCATTGACCATTGACTGATAGCTCAATACACTGTAAAAATAATTTATTTAAGCACAGGCCAAAAAACAACTTAATTTGTAATTGCAAGTAACCGAGCAATAAACATGATAAAATAACTCTTACCTGACAACACTAGATACTATCAAATAATCGAGACTTTTAGGGATGTACTTAGGTGATGTTTTGTAATTTTTATCAGATTTTCAGACTTCTTGGTTTTTTTTCCTATGATACAGGGTAACTTATTTTGCCCCATAACAACCATTTTTCTTTTCATATAAGACTTCAATCATTTTTTATCAATAGCTCATATAAGGTCATTTCTTAAAATTTAAGCAGATTGTATGTAGACTTTTTCTAACGATTTTTAAACCCAAATAATACCAAGGCAAATATAAGGTAAAAGTCTGAGTCAGCCTTTTCCGCCATTTTTTAAAACTCAAATATCTTGAAAAGGAGCTACATAACCTATCAATATGTTCAGCTTATTTTATTCTGTAACTAATGCTCTTTCGACTTATCAATTTAAAATCCTTGAATTTCTCCTTAGTACATCCTTCAGATATTTCTACATTAAGTCCTTGTCTCTTTCTTGTTATAAAGGTATAGAACCACTTATTCCACACGTTAATTAAAGGTGTGTTGAATTTTTCAGCACAAGTCAGGATAAGGTATAGTTTTGACATGAAATGACTGATACTTTATTTAAACTTAAAACAAAGTAGCCATTAATACTCAAAATTGCAGAGTTTAACATAGAAAGCAAAGGGCTATGAATTAATGGTTTTACACCTAAAGAGATGTTAATTTTAAATGATTTTTTACCTCTGTTTAAATGCTTCTTCATACAGTCTTTTCCTTGCTGTCTTTCTTTGTTCAAATTGCTGTTGTGCTTGTTGTGGTTCAATATGCTGTTGTTGTTGTTTAGGATGCTGTTCTGGTTTTTTTGCTGCCATTTTTTTTACACATTGTCTTTGATAATAGTTTTTCCTTTACAAATCTTCAAAAGACTTTGGAGTGATGGCAAATTAGTTGCTGCAACTTTTAAACTTTCATGGGAAAAAAGTGCATTAGCTAAGGAAAAAAAAGCTTTTTTCTTACTTTCTTCTTTGATTTCATGTGAAAAAAAAAGTTTTTTGTAAAATGCTGACATCCTCCATGGCATTATGTGCAGAAAAATCTTGCTGTAGGAAAAATGTAACAAAAAATTGTTGAGAATACGAGGATAAACCAGGTTGTGTGAACAAAATAAAAATTTGGTATCAAGAAAACCAGAAACAAAAGTATTAATCTTCTCAATTTTTCCAACTGCTTCTAAAGCATTAAACAGAACATGGCAATCAAAAGATTTGATATTGTGTGAATTTGTGTCCATACAGACATATTCCACTTCCAATTTTCGAGAGAAAATCAATAAATGCATCTAAAGCACTAGATATGTCAGATGTTTCAACAATTTTCCATTGTGATGCATTCTACCATTTCGACCAGTTATGCCATTCACCTCTGATGCTTAGGAAGAAACAGGTATTTTTGGTCTGACATAACATTGCCACTGCTTATCTCTTAGACTGTGTTATGTGGGAGTTGCGACCTGTAATTAAACAAATGTTTGTTAATCACCGTCATAATTGCCATTTTGTAGAAACATAAAATGATCACACATAATTGAAGTGTCTACAGACAATGCTGATTACAGAATCATTACATTATACTCGTCCAACTTTTGTGGTCGCATAGATTAAATCTCATAATTAAATCCAACAATTACAAAAAATATGTACAAAATATAGGTTCTGTTTCTACGGAAAGGAATCATCACTTTCTGTAGATCTGAAACGATTGTCAACCCTAAAACAGGAAGTAGGTATTTGGTTTCATTTGAAAACAACTTACAACTTGCCTCTCATCATTATGAAATTACAAATCATTCCCATATTTAGAAGCTGAGAAATATGTGAAGGAAAATTTCTGGATGTATGAACAAAAGTAGGCAAATTGGTACAACTAAATCCCGACGCCTTAATGCGGAGGCAAAAAAAAAACCCAACATAATGTAACATATAGCAAGATATCTATTAACAATCAGGTTTGATATATGAACTATTTTTGAACTAAAAAATATGTCTTTGAGACACAGGGTGTCTATCTATATATGAAACTGCAGATAAAAACTAACCATATCGCTCAGGCAGAAAATGTAGGTCTTAGTGACCTTAATAATAGTGAACCCTGTTGTACTACATGTACCTTAGACAAATCATGCATATTGAGCTATAAAAAATTTCCTGTATGAAATTCATTTTTCTTTTAAGCTATGATTTGTAGTGCTCATAAAATAAAGCATATGCATTGGTATGCAATACAAATATTACGAGTACAGAGTGAAATGAAAACTCAAACTGTGTTGAAAATACTAGGGTCATGAGGGTTGATGCTTTGAAGATTCTTATGCAAGGTGCCAATATAATTTCAATTTAAAACATGATCTGAACCAAACAAGAGGCTCTCAAGCGCCTGAATGCTCACCTGTATTTCAGAGGAGAAGATTTTTAAATGTTAGCAAACTTGATGAACAAATTGTGTAAAATTGTCTTTAAAGGGCAATAACTCCTTAAGGGGTCAATTGACAATTATGGTTATATTAACTTTTTTGTAGATCTTACTTTGCTGAACATTATTGCTGCTTACAGTTTATATATATCTATAATAATATTCAAAATAATAACAAAAAACTGCAGAATTTTGTTAAAACTACCAATTCGGTGGCAGCAACCCAACAATGGGTTGTTCGATTCGTCTGAAAATTTCAGAGCTGATAGATCTTGACCAATTGAACAATTTTACCCCCATGTCAGATTTGCTCTTAAAGCTTTAGTTTTTGAGATATAAGCCAAAAACTGCATTTGACCCCTATGTTCTATTTTTAGCCATGGCGGCCATGTTTGTCGATGGATCAAAACTTGGGATACATTTTATAAACTAGATACCCTAAGGAGCATTTAGTTAAAGTTTAAAGGTATTTGGCCCAGTAGTATCAGAGGAGAAGATTTTTGAAATAGTTTATGACGACAGATGACAACAGACGACGACGGACGCCAAGTGATGGCATAAGCTCACATGGGGCCCTTCGGGCCCTGGTGAGCTAAAAAGTTGTTTAATGACTCTATTAAGGGGCTGGGGACAGAGGGTGTTTGCTGTTTGTCAACAAAAACAACATCCTTGTGTTATTCTAAGACTCTTTGTACTCAAAATAGGGTGGGTCTTTTCACCACCGAACACCCAAAAAAACCATCAATCACTGAGAAAATCAGTGATTTTATACAAGAAAACAGTAAAATCAATTAAATTACGTCTAATTTTTTAGATGTTTATGTGCATCATTTTTCGGGTAACAAGAATGACCGAATAACACCGTTATTATCCAAATAACACTTGTAATGACCGAATAACACTTGAAATTTTAATATTAGCACATATTGGTGACTTTTAAACATTGATTATTAAATAATATTATATTATGTGTGTATTTTATAACTTAAAAATGATTAACAGAAAGCAGGTAAGTTCATAAAGATCGTTTTAAATTTAGTGTGTACATCCAACATGGCGACCAAGTTGCCATGTTGGATGTACACACTATATTTAAAATTTCGAGGTACCGTCATTTTTCTGTTAAAGTCGATTATCAATATAATCCATATAAAGAAGAGAAAAACGTCTCCGCATTCATCACTATTTTTCCAGATTACATTGTTTGTGTATAAGAATCATTTGACATCAATTACTGATGAAGGATATTAGTTACCCGAAATATTTAACATTTGTTCATGTCTCTTTTCTTGTTATTGATACAACTATTTTATAAAAGAAGAAAAAAAATGAAGAAAAAAAATTATTTGAGGTGTCCAGTGGTGGTTTGCAGAGTGGTAGTGTTATAGACTCTCCTTTTCTGTTCGATTTTTGGGGTGTTCGGTGGTGTTCGGTGGTGAAAAGACCTACCGCTTAAAATATACGGTCATAAACTGCACAAGTTCGTGCTTGTGTCAATTAATTTATTCCAGTCATGTTTTCGTACCAATGTGTTCCACGATTCTTGCGCTTTGGATATTATTCACAGTCCAAATTCCCTAACACAAAGTCATTGTATAAATAAAAAAATCTACAGTTTTCTAATACTGAAATTTGAGACATACCACGATTAGCATTCTTGGGACACAGCCTATTACTCGTAACCCGAAGATTTCTAGTAATCAATCTATATTCTCAGAAGATAATGTTGTCATCATTGAGCAGCAGAATATTTCGAATTAATCATTTTGGATATATTACTCGAGGAGAAATACGAAAACTGAAATTTGAAACAGGAAGTTTTCAATGAAACGAAATTATCGGTGGTTACCGGTAACGGAAATGAACAAAATACGGAAATCGTAAATCTTTAAAAAATCAAAAAAATCGGGGCGGGCGGGGATGAAAATCTATCAATTTATTTTAATTGGCCTAATTTTATTATCTCCCCTTTTTTATTTTTCAAGTGAAACCTTTTAAGACATAATTTTTGAAAAATTCTATCAACAGCTTTAAAATTTAAAAATTTGGTTGGACCTCATATTCCAGGTTATTTGAATTATTCATATATGTGTACAGTTATCTAACTTAAAATAGTTTACTGCGACTTGACTATTTACCTTTACCTATTGTTCAATTGACAATACAATTGGGACATTTAAATTGACCAGTTGTTATTGTTAGAGTTGAGTCTACCTTGATGCTACCTGTACTGTTTTTTTCTTATTCACCTAACTCAACCTTGCAGCATGCTTTTTTCCTGAAGTTTTTCTTCACCTAGGGTTATTCTATTATAAAATTGATAGGGAAGAACATATTATTGGTTTTCATTGTTTTAAATCCCCAATATAAATGATTAATTTAATTTTGACCAAAAAATCTAAATCAGTAAGAGATTTTCTTAACTGCATGTTAACATGTTTGAAAATGAAAACTGTTTTTACATAATATATGAATCTTAACATTTTTAACCCTTATACATGGTATTGTCCAGTTGTCAGTGAAACAAGAAGTAGCTATTCAGGTGTTTTCAGTTTCAGTTTTCAGATGGATATGTTATGCATTTCTTCAAATATCCGTTCAAATTTTTCATTTGGAATATTATTCAAAGTGTTTGAAATCTTTAATCAATGTGCATAATATATTGGGATTTATTTTATTTGAATTCACTTCTTAAGAAGCCATATAATTTTGCTTCTTAAAATGTGACTTGTTTTTTTTAGAATGGATTGTCATGAAAGTATCAAGGAGGAAATAATTCATTCAAAATGTTTTGTGTGGCTTATACATGAAAAAGATATAATTTAGTTAATCTAAAAGGTAAAAAAAATCAAAACTGGAATGCAAGTAGAAGAAATAAGTTTATCCATGTTTCTGTGGCTTAAAATTTAAATGTGATTTTGAAAATAATCATTAAAAAATTCTGGACCTAATATGAAGATGATTCACCTGTTTAAATGTGATATATATTAGAAAATGAAGTAAAATGTGAATACAGTGGATATAGTCGAATCTAGTGATAAAGTGAAAAATAAAAGTAAAATATTCTAAAAAATTCATAATGTGAGAATAACAATTTTGAATGTGATATTGAAAATAATCATTATAAGATTCTGGATCTTATATTGTTTAATTGGGACATATTTCATAGAAAATGCAATAAAAACTGAATACTGTGGATCTAGTAAAATCGAATGCAAAATAAAAAAAAAAATATTCCAAAAAATGTGTAAAGTGAGGATAACTATTTTGAATGTGATATTGGAAATGATCAAAAATCACAAATTTCTGGATCTAATATAAAGACTCAGCACATGTTTAATTGGGATGTATATCATGGGAAAGTAAACAGAATTATACTGTGGATATAGAAAAAAATCTAGCGATACAGTGAAAAATGTTAGAAAATATTCTAAAAAGTTAATAAAATTAGGAAAATATTTTAAAATGATTTCAAATAGTGAAACTGGAATACTGGATGGGATATCAAATATCAGTGTCAATAAATAAAAGTTTATTCATAACTATTATTTTTACCTTCACTATTTTTAAACACTTTGTACAAGGCTCATGTCAATAAGAATGGAACAAATGTCTAAATGAAGGAATGCACACATTTGTTCTGGTGTTTAATAATACTGGAAAATTATGGAAATTATGAAATAATTAAGATTTCCACAAGAGTAAAAAAAATATTTTGAGTTATCTCCCATTAGAAAAGGCCAAAGAGATAAAGAGGTCTATTCAACAAAATAAAGGAAATCAAAGCACTCATAGTATTTGGCTATTAAAACATTAAGAGGAAATGTAGTGCATTATATGACCACTGTGTATCATCACCATCTGATATAGGAAGCGGTGGAAAACAAATGTGAAGTCAGGTAAGGTCAAATTCTTCTTATTTTCATTATATTCTACATTTT